CACTTAGCGCAGCGTTAATTAGTGCCGTTGATGATACGTTTATCTGAAGGGACGTGATCCGTGGCTTCTTCTTTCTTTCTTGAGCCCTTAACATGCTCACCCCCCCCCCCCCCCCCCCCCGTCAGCTCATGTTTGCTTTCAGGATGCCATCCCATCTGCCTGCCCCCCGCCCCCCTCCATCAGACACTTGCCACATTAAGTGGGTTTAAGGGAATCCCAGCGAATCCGAGGGAATCAGGGAACTCTGAGGATTTCCGGGCAGGATACGGTGAAGAGGTTTGATATTCCTGTCTCCCTTTAAAGGGTCTGTTTCACACGCTCTGCTACCCCAGGCACACAAGCATGTTTTTCTTTGCAAAGACTTTCAAAAATCAATGCAAAAGGCAGGTCTCAGTGCTGTCGTGCTGCAGATGGAGTCCATGCTGAGGTAGGCAGTCAGTTTCTTGGCTTGTTAGCTTAGTGTCATGAATGCAGATCAAAGTCAGGCATCTCACATGTTGCTTTGGGCTTTCATTGGCACTTAATAATGCTCATTATCCCATCATAAAGAGCTCTGAGGTGGGAGCTGTCCTCCCTGTCATGCTTTGGTCCTTGCCTCCGTGCGGAGAGTAAGCCTGGTGCCTGCCTGCGAAAAAACCTGGACGTTCCCATCTGAAGATGATTCATATGTTCAGATCGTCATTTAATAGCAAAGTGAGTTTTCCCATAGCGGGGGGTGGTGTGCAGCCCAGTAGGATATGGATCCGTGGCTGTGTCCATAAGGTTGTGGGTTTGAATCACATGGCTGGCGTAGTAAGCAAATCACTTTTGGGCCTGTGAGCGCGACCACAGGGGTGCAGGATGCTCGTGCTTTACTCTGTCGTTATGGACAATAGTGACTGCTAGGTACATGAACTCCATGGAACACGCCAGCATGCCGTCTCCCGGTGGAAAAGCTTTCTGTGTCTGAAGCTGCAGTCACTGGTGAAACTTTAGTTCTGCCTCTTTTTTAATGGTCACCAAAAACTGCGTCCTCCTCTGTACCCCCTGCTCTTTAAATCTTACCTTAGATCTTGACTGCTAAACTGGGTCCCTTCAGAAAAACATCAAATGCAAAAGTGTCATTCTTAAAAAATAATAGTCACTTTGGATACAGGTCTTTGGCAAGCTGGTTCATGATGTGTATTTTGTGTGCGTCGTTGAAAGCCACCTGTGCACCTGTGAGGAAAACATGGCGACATTTCCCAAGAGGTTGGTAGCGAACAATAATCACAAAGGACTCTGAGCCACCCCTGCTGGCCGCTCTTCTGTTATGGAAATACTTTAAAGTATCCTTGTCTCTCTATGACTCATGAAGGTCTCCAAAAGTTGCTATGGCAACAAGTGTGTGAAAGACAGGCAGCATTTTCCACAAAGAGATCCTCCCTGAAGGAGAGCCCAGCGTACACACAGCACACCCCAAGAAGATGCCTTCGGTCGCAAACGTATCTCTCACTCTGGGGGGGTCATGATCCTCTTCCAATTTCGAGTGATGTTTCTGTGTGCTCGCCGTTAGGAATATTCAGACTTAGATCCTGTTCAAACATCAGTATGAAACCTGAACCTGAGTACAATCCATGCCTGATGGTACACTGTCAGAAAAAAAGTACCAGTTTGTACCTCTGGGGTTATAGTTACTTGTCACTGAGGCTGTACCCTCAAGGGTCTGCCCATTGTACCCTAGCTGTAGGTAAATGTACCTTTTAAGGTACATAAAAGGACTCTCTGGAACATTTTCATACCATTGGGGGTACATTAATGCTCTTTGTGCCTTGGGTACAAAACTATACCAGAGCTTGTTTTCTGACAGTGTAAAGGCAGTAGTAGTTAACAAGTCATTGTGATTTCTGATTTCTAATCAGGATCGACAATCGGGAACATGGGAATGTTTAGTCTTGTACACCGTGTTTTGAGGCATGTGTTATTCCTAATTTTCAGCTGAGTGATCAAAGTGAATTCATAATTCATAATGATAAAAGTTAATTTATTTGGAGACAAAATGTTACATTAGTCGGTCGCAAACAGAAATAAACAAACAAACACAGCACATAGCACACTGTACATACCACACAGCACACTGTACATAGAACATAGCACTCTGTACATAGCACATTGTACATACCACACAGCACACTGTACATACCACACAGCACACTGTACATAGCACATTGTACATACCACACAGCACACTGTACATACCACACAGCACACTGTACATAGCACACTGTACATACCACACAGCACACTGTACATACCACACAACACACTGTACATAGAA